GCTGGCCCACCAGTGCCTGGCGCAAGCCCTCACCCGTGGCCACCGTCTCGTGTGCGGTGGCGCTGGTGGTGAGCAGCGCGCCCAGATTGAGCACCGACCGCCGCAGCCCGTCCACCTCCAGGACCAGTTCCAGCTGTGCGTTCTCATGCGGCCGCTCAGGAAAGGCCTGCGCAGCCAGGGCCGACAGCCTCTCTCGCATGTGCTTTCGCACCAGCAGCACCTCGGGGGCGGAGCCCAGGCGAAGCGCCTGCTCTGCGAAGCTGCAGCTGCTGCCAATGTGCTCCTGACCCTGGCGCAGGGTGTCTAACTGGGTCTGCAACACCTGTGGAGGGGAAGGAAGGGTGGTGGCAATGCTGGTGCAGATGGAGTCTCCAGGATCCCGGCGAGCTTGTGGTATTACTGTACATCTTGGAAGAAACAGAAGGGTGGGGCGGGGTGTGGACAAGGGATATGGATGCCAGCAGCGCCCAGGGGCCATGTCAGCAGGCAGAAAAGAGAGGCTGCAGAAAGGAATCCAGGAAAGCAGGCGTACCTTCTGCTTGGCCCCACAAATGCTCTCCAGGTCGCTGACCAGAGCCTGCTTGCGCTGCTGGAGTGCTTGCTCCAGGTCCTCAAAGGCTGCGCTGATCTGCGCCAGGGCCTCTGCCTTGCGCTCCTGCAGCTGCTGGCTGATGCCCCCTACTAAGGCGATGGCTGCAGACAGCTGTGGCAGCCTGGGAAAGGGAGCCGTCGTCTCATGCCAGGGAAGAGCGCACCCCCCACAGCCCTCTGGGAGATCCCCTACTGACTCCTTCAAGACTTCTATTTCTGCCTTCCCAGACCCCTTTTCTCCCCTCCTCAGGCTCTCCCTTCCATGGAGAAGCTCTCCCCATGGCCTCCCAAGGGCTGCCCGGCCCCACCCAGTGCCTACCGGCCACGCACAGCCTCCAGCTGGCGCTGCAGGGCCGCCTTGTGCTGCTCCACCACGTCCCGCAGCAGCACCGTGCCGTGTTCCCGATGCTCCCCTGCGCGGCACTCGCCACACATGGCTGTCTCACAGGCCTCACAGTAAAACTCCATCGTCTGGCGGTACAAGGACTCCCGTGAGGCAACCCAGACGCTACCTTCCTCTGCCCCCATCCCACTGCTTTCCCTGTCCCCATCTCCAAGTGCGCCTCTACGTGGACCGCTCATCCAGAGAAACACCTCTCTCCCCAGCCACTCGGTCCCCGCCATCGCCTTCCCTGCTCCTCCCACCCCAAGCCCTGGCCTCACTGGGCCTCGCTTGGGCCCACCTTGCCTTCATGGTTGGGGCAGGAGAGAGGGCGGCCAGCCACTGCACTGAGGGGGTGAGGGTCCTCGGGGTCGTGGGCCCCGTCGGGTGCCTGCTGCATGGCCTCCATGAGGCTGCTGATGAAGAAGTTGTTCTGCAGGGCCGAGACACCCTGCTCAGGGAGGATGGATGTCTGCCGGCACACTGGACAGGACAGTGTCAGGCTCTGGGCAGGGATGTAGTTCTGGAGGCATCTGTCCAGAGAGGAGCAGGAGTCAGAGCGAGGAGGGAGGGGGCAGTCGCAATAGTCCCCCTACTCCAACAGGCGAGGACACCTCTTCATTCTACTTGTACTTGGAACCTCTCCAGCTGACACACTCCCTCAGCTACTAGCAGATTTAAAAGCCACTCGTGACTAAACAGAAACCCAGGCCCCTCTCAGAAAAGCAGACATCATCTATATATCTGTATTTCTCATGACGCGCACAACACAAGTTGCCTTTACAAAACCTCAAGAAAATGTGCGCTACTAGGTCGTGGTGGCACACACCCGTAATCCCGGCACTTAGAAGGCTGAGGCAGCAGGATCACTGTAAATTCAAGGCCAGCTTGAACAACACAGTGAGTTGAAGGCCTGCCTGAACTATATAAGACAAAACCTGTCCCCGCTCTAAAAAACAAAATGTGCAACTATCCTCACTCCCTTTAACTCATTAATTACTTAATGCCTCCTCTGGCCAAATTTGTGCCAAGCCCCAGGGGTAAAAAGATAAAGCGCAGTGACTTCTGGGAGTGGTGGTGCACATCTACAGTCCCAGCACTCAGGAGGCTGAGGCAACCTGGCCTACACAGTGAGGTGAAGGCCAGCCTGAACTACAAAGTGAGAGCCTCTCTCAAAAAACAAAACAAAACAAAAAAGCTAAGGCACAGTGACTGCCCTTAAAACAGTTCTAGTCTTCAAAGCAAACATCACAGAAATAATGAGTTTTTAAAAATAAACACTGTAATAACTACGAGGCTGGGTCCCACAGCTAGGCCACCTGGGTTCAACTCCTAAGTCAGTGACCCCTTAGACGGCGTGGTCCCTGACAAGTGCCTTTTATGAGTTAAGGGCTCTTCCTCTGTCACACAGAGACAGTGCGGGTGTCACAGGTCTGTTAGAGGTCTAAATGTAAACGACTGCTAACATGTGAAGAAGATTAAATGCGAGGGCCGGGGATTTAGCTCAGCGGTGCTGCCACCTGCCTTGAAAGCGCAAGGTCCTGAGTTCCATCCATGGTACCAAAAAAACCTCACGATTAAATGTGAAATGCCTGACTCACCAAAGTGCTATATAGGATAGGCTACCAGCACTGCCATACTTAGAGGAACACAGAGAACACAAGACATGTAGTCGTGAGGAAATGCATCTGGGGCAGGGGGGTGAGAAGGTAGCTAGGTAAGGCTTCAGAGGCGAGGTAAATGAAATCTTCATGGGTAAATCACTGTCAGCGTGAGCAGGAAAAGGTGCAGGGAAAGGAGGAGGGTGTTCCAAATACAGAAGACGGCAAGAATCAGCACGGTGCAGAGGGAGCTAGAAGCAGTTTGATGTGGCTGGTGACAAAGTCCAAGGCAAGAAATAGCGAGAGGAGTCAAGACGTTAATCCCAGTGGCAGCATGAAGCCACAAGGGGTTGGGACAGACAGTCTGTTTTATCAGGCTCCTCTTTACCACCTTGTGTGGACGGGTGAACGGGAAAGGAACAAACAGCAGAGAGGGAGGGGTGACACCATCATTTATTTACCGCTTATGAAGCACATGTGTGCCAGGCGCTGTGCCTTTTACTTTATGTTAACAGGCTCAGAAAGAGCCAAGTGATCCACGGTAACAAAGCCAGTGAGCACTGGAGCCTAGGATTAAAGGGAAAGCAAAGCATGTGCTTGGCCAATATACTGTCATAATAACGGGGGCAAAGAGTGAGGAAGAGCTTAGGTGGGAAGAGAACTGAGGAGGGTTTTAGAAGAACAAGTGGGAAGTACTGTCTAATTAGGTATGGAGAGGGACAGAGCTGAGTCTTGGTTGGTTCCTGCTTCCTACCTTAGGTAACTGTTATAACTTGTGTCTACAGGTCCCTTCACAGCCTCACGTAGTTATAAGTGAGGCTTTTCCAAAGGTGGCTGGATCTACAGAGTGTGACACTGGGACTGATTCATGGTGTGATGCTAGGATCAAGGGCACTAGGATTAAGGGTGTGAGTGCTACTGCCCTGAGTAGTCTGGACAAACTGTAAGGGATAGAAAGAGCTGTGGTCCTCCCTTGCTTGCTTTACTACCTTCTGCCCACCAAAAACTTCCACCTCTGCAATGCCTGCGTGCAATGCCTTGGAGCCAGCCAACTATGGACTAAAACCTCTACAAACTGTGAGCCAAATAAACCTTTCCTCTCATAACTTTAGGTGACAGGTATTTTGTCTCTGCAAAGAGAAAAGTAGCAAAGACAGTTCCTGAGTGGATAGTGGTGATATAGTGGAATTCCAGGTTAGCTGGAGAGAAGAAAGGTTAGAAACAGCTGCCACTAACACTGAGAAAGCTTTGGTAGCTAAGGGAGAGGATGAGGTCAGGCAAGGATGGGGAGACAGTGATAAGACAGAGGGACAGAGCATTCAGCAAATTCTGAACAAGGAGAGCAGAGAGGATGGGCAGAGAGCAGGAGTGACAGAGGCAGGGCAGCAAAGTGAATCCAGACAAAGGGAATGAGTAGCCCCAAGGGTGCAGAAAGGCTGAGGACCCAGGCAGAGTAAGAACTGGAGCCGGGTGTGGTGGCGCATGCCTGTAATCCCAGCCCTTCAGAGGCTGAGGCAGGAGGATCACTGTAAATTCGAGACCAGCCTGGGCTACATAGTGAGTTCTAGGTATGAGTTCTCAACTACATAGTGAGACCTTGTCTCAAAAAACCAAAAAAAAAAAAAAAAAAGAACTGTAAATGCCCACTGAATGTGCACATGAAGGTGCTTTTTTCCGTTAATGAAAGGTGGGGGCCTTGACTGATACAAGGTGAAAAGTGAAAGGGAAGTTGGGGGACAGAATGGGAAGGGGGATGAAGGAATGGGTGACACTGTGCTGCACAAAGAACAGGGTTCTGCTTGTCACGGGAGCTGTGAGCATGTTTACAAATGGAGAAGGGGCCAGTAGAGAGGGACTGGTGGAGGAGACCAGAAGGGGCAGGACATGGACCTGAGCTGGAGGAGTGACTTGAGTTGGCCGGAAGGAGAGGAGTGGACACCATACTCTGATAGAGGAAAAGAGGTATATGTGGAGGACCGCAGGGGCAGTCAAAGAAACGGTCCCTAAAGGCTCAGCAAGATCAGCTGCAGAGAGTGGAGGAGGGAGGAGTCTGGAGATGGTGAGGGCTGGGATTAGTCACTGCAGGGAGTGGAGAGGAGGCTTACTGGAAACAGGCAATGGGACTGAAGGTAGCTGGTCTGGAGACCATGAATCTGTGGAGGATGTGTATGGTGCAAACCCTCCCATATCCTCAGTCTCTTCACTCAATGTTCCCTGTACCCTTTGCTCTTAATTAAAATTTAGCTGACACTAGGTGCCAGGCAGGATTTTAAGTGCTTCACAAATATTAACTTATTTAATTGTGACCTACTTTTCCCTTCAGTCCTCTCCAGTAGAGTGGTTTTTGTCTCATACTCCACATTCCTTAGGGCCAGAAGGTGGGGCTGAGTCCTCCTTCTTCCCAACTGGGACTTTCTATTTGTCTTCAGCGACTTTGAAGCTCAGGCCTTCTGGCTGTGCCCCCGTTCCTTGTTACTGTCTCCAATGACCTAACAGTTAACTCTCTCACTTGCTGAAGTCTTTCTCCTGAGTCACACTCTCTTCTATTACCCTCCCCAACACACAGACATCCTGCCATCCTTCTCGGGGACTGGCATCTACAAGAAGATCCATCACTGTGGTCCTTCAATTGCCTGACTTCCACACTTTTAATGATCTTTTCCTGCACTTCACCACTGCTGTCCACTCCTATGCTCACACCACCACCCATATCTCAACCGTCACTGATATCGACTCTGAGGTCCACACCCCCACTGTCCCTTGCAGCTGTCTTCCAAGCGCACTGATTCTAGCATTATTCCTGCAAAGGACCTTCTAACTTACCAGTACTACCTTCCTATGTGTTGAGCATACCTGGCTTGCAACAGCTTCAAAACTCGTTTTCATTCTTACTCCTTAATACATTCTCCACGTAATCAGAGTGAGCACTTAAATAAATCTAATTTATATCAAATTCTTTCCTGCTATAAAAAAATCCCAATAGTTACCTGTTGCACTCAAAATGTGAATATACAATGGACCTTGACTTACAAACTCAATTCATTTGTAAGGGCAGTTGTAACTCTCATTGGTCAATGAAGATTCAGGCTCCTCTACACAGCCTTCAAAGTCTCTCTCCTGTATCCAGGCAGATCTCAGTGTCCTTACAGAGACACTGGCCCAGGATTTCTCAATTAACCCCATGCTGGAAAGGATGTTGTAATGCTCCTTTCACAACTCTTTAAGGGTTAAATCTGTGTCTGAGACCATCTGGAAGCACAAGCAGCTAGCATTCTGGTCATAACTCAAGACTTCGTTCGTAAGACGAAATTAAAATTTCAGTCATAACTCTAGGGTCCACTATACTCCCCTAAAACCTACAAGCTGCCTCCTTGAACTGTCCTGACTGATTCCTCTGCTTCCCAGTTTCCTCCTCAGTCAGCCAAACACACTGATTTCTTTTCTGGTCTCAGAAAATGCCCTGTTAACTTCTTCCTTTAGGTCTCTGCACAGATTTTTCTGTTGTCTGGAATAATCTGCTTATGTTTGTCCCTTCGCATCCTGAGACTCAGATCAAATGTCACTCCTCAAGGAAGCTTTCCCTGGTAACTATAAAGACCAGCCCCAAACCCAACCATCCCCACTTACTCCCTCCGTTTACTGCAAAACATTTGGCATAAGTTATAGCTCTTGTTTATTTCCTGGCTTACTGTCCAACAGAGGATAAGCTCTTTGAGAGCTAACACCAATGGATAAATTAAAGAATTCTAGAATGAAGGCTTTGCAGTCAAACCTGGATTCAGATCTCAGCTATTTACATGTGGTATAGTCTTGCACATATTTCTTAATTATTTGATGACTCTGAACCATAGTTTCCTTATCTCTAAAATGGGGATAATAAAGTGTCTCTGATGAGGATTAAGTAAATCAATACATGTAAATCACTTAGTCCCTGGCAAACAGTAAGCAATCAGTACATTTAGCTATTGTTATTATAATTTCTAGGGACGGATTTTTCTTTAGGCGTGCTCAGTGATCCAGGCACAGGAGAAAGTTCAGAGATGTCAATTATAGCTTTTATGGCATGGACTTAGCAAAGCAAAGGTGTGAGAGAACTATGGGGGCCAGTCAGATGATCAGCCACAGGATCCAGGATGTGCATGAAAGAAAGAGAAGCCAGGGTGGACTTGGTGTGGGAGAAAAGGGAGTAGCTTGAGGGGGCTAGACTTTACAGTGAGTCAAGATGACACAGTGGCAGTTGGGTAAGTGGAAGATTATGACCAACAGAAGTGGCATTATTCCAGGTGATGACAAGTCCGAAGTCTTGGTTGGGAGAGTCCTACTAAGGTGGAATAGAGGATGTCCTCAGAGAAACAGTCAAGAACCAGAAGGTGTAAATGGGTAATGAAGTCCCCAGGGTAATGGAAGAGCCTGAATGGACAGGAAGGCTGAGACCATTTCCTGGTGGTGATAGTGAGAGGGCTGTGAACCAGAATCTCAAAGAGCAGGCTGGAAGGGAAGGAGTGTCCCTGACACAGCCACATTCCAGTGGAGGCAGGAGAGGAGACAGAGAGGAGGCTTGGATGGAGGCAATGGTGAGAAGACCCAAAACACCCAAGATACAGCCCTGAGGGATGGGGGCTAGAAAAAGACTATTCAAAATTTGGATGTGATTGTGCATAAAAACCTTGCCGAAGCCTCACGAGGCTCTCAGGGCAAAGGCCAGATTCCCTAAGAGGCTGACCATCTCCTCCACGTCGCCTAATCTCCATGCCTCCCTCCAGCTTCAAGGGAGGCTACGCTCAATCACACCTGCTCTAATCCAGCTGCACAGGCCTTCTTCCAGGCCCTCTTACCGACACGTTCCTTCAGACCACAAGGTCCAACATAGCATAGCTGCTCAGTAAATAAATATTCAGTGAATGAATGAAAGATGGATGAAAGCCTTTCACTCAGAACCTAGGCCACTGAGGATGGGCAGACCTATCCCTAAGATAGCATCAAATATCCTTTCACTAATCACAAACTCCGCTGGAGCCAGAGCTGGTTAAGTCTCTGGTGGTGTGGAAGGCTGCTTTGGGACCTGGGAAGGAGCAAATAAAGCCCTATTCTAGGTAGAAACCTTGGCCAGTGTTATCAGCTTCTGGTCCTCTTATAGGTTCTTGCACCCAAACCCTTATCTCCTACAGGCTCGGGTTCACCTTCCACATGGGCATATTTTCCTCACCTATCACAGGTGTGTACACGTGCTCCCCTTTCAATCGTGGATACACACATCCACCCTCACCTCTCACAGAAGGTATGCAGGCAAGGCAGAACCTTGGGGCACCGGTACCGATCCAGGCAGATGCTGCACACCAGGAACTGCTTGTCCATTGGCTGCACCTCCGGGCCAGGGCTGTCCTCCCTCTTTGCCATGGTGACCAGAGATGGCTCCTGCCACTCACACCAGCCTGTTTACAGAGAGACAGTCAGTAGCAGGGGCCAGCATTCCCTCTCCCCATACCAACCCCACCACTAAAATTCCCTTCAGAGAAATGTGCCCATTTTCCTGGCAGGGACTGGAAGGAACGTTTGGCAGGGGGCTAAGTCACCTTGGAGCATGGTGCTGTTTCAAAGCACAGATTTGGGGATAGACTGGCTTGCAAACCTGCCTCACCTCTCTCTCACCAGGAATCTGGCCTTCCTTGGACAACTCACAAAACATCTCTTAAGTCTGTCTCTTAACCTGTAGTTACACAAATAATCCTGGCTGCCTCAAGTGGTTGAGACTCTGAAATCATGCGTGTCAAAGGAACGCTACAAGGATGTCCATTTTCACCGACACACCCACTCTTCATCTCCACCAGGTCTTTCTGCTGGAGTCTCTCTACGCTGGTCACCTGCAGCTCTTCTCTCCACACCTTGGCTCATCTAGCACAGCTGCCTGGGATTGCACTCTCTTCCACAGCTGATCAACATCAAGGGCAGGACTGCCTCCCAAGAATTTTTTTTTTTTTTGAGACCATCTCACTATGTAGTTCATGCTGACCTTGAACTTTCTACATAGCTGAGGCTGGCCTCCAACTCCTAGCAATCCTCCCGCCTCAGCCTCCCAAGTGCTGGGATTACAGGCATGTGCCACCACACAGCTCGACTGGAGAATTTTATCCCTTCTCCCAGTGCCAAAGCTATAGTCAATCCAGGCCAGCATCAGATCCTTCCTGGACGCCCCTGCGTCCTCTCTGCACCTCCTCATCCATCCTCTTTTTGGCCAGAGTGAGTTTTCTAAAATACAAGTGTAATTCATCACTACTCCCTTTTTAAAGTGCTTCAACCTTCTCCATTACCCAGAAGATAAAATCTAAAGCCTGACACTGGCCCACAAGGGCTGGCTAGCTTCAACGTGACCCTATCTTCCTCTAACCTCACATCTCATGATTCTGTAATCCGTCAGGCTTGTTCAGTTCCTGGAAACCTCCACATTCTTTGTTTTTTGTTTTTTT